TGCTCCACGGGAAAGGATATTTGGAAGTGCGGGGCGACCTCTCCCCGAAGGCACGGGCTGATCCCGCTGTGCCAGGCGGGATGGGCATTCCACGGGCATTCTGGGGGTCGCTCTGGCTGGCGTAGCTTTGCCAGGTTAATTAACTCCCACCTCGCGCTCCCGCAGGTGGATTTTCCACCGCCTCTTCCCGGTCTCCAGGCAGGCCCGGCTGACGTCAGGGGAGGGGGGGGAACAGCCGCCCTCCTCCTGCTCCTTGGAGACCTTGGAGACCTTGGAGAGCGGCTGCTCCGCTCCCGGTGCCTGCCGGGGGGTGGGAGGGGGGGAGCAGCCCCTCCCCGCCCGGCTGGGCTTTGGGGTGACGGGAAAATCCTGCTGGGATTGACGGGAAAAGCCCCATCAGAGGTGACCCCTCGCCTGACGTGGAGTGGGGACATCCCTCCCCTGCCAGAACCCACCCCCGGGCAAGCAGGGACTTTGTTTTCCAGGGAGCTGCGAGACCCCGGGAGCCGTCGGCCCCTCCAAGGGGAAGGGGATCCCACCGTGGCTTCATCCCGTTTTATCCGTGGAAGTTTGGAAACGGCCGCAGCTCTTCCCAAGGCGCCTCTTCCCATCCTCACCCCCTTGGTCCACGCAGCATCCCGGGAAGGCTCCCCCTTCCTCGCGGGAGCAGGGAGAGGGGACTGCCAGTCCCGCGGTTATCCCGGGAGCCACTCACCGGTTTCTGGGAATCCTGATCCATGTTTTGACGTGGGGTAGGGGTAGTACAGAGAGCACAGTTCCGTGGGACAGCCGGGAATATCACCCAGCACCGAGGAAAAATGGGGAACCGCCAATCCTGGAGTTATCCTCGGAGCCACCCACGGGTTTCTGGGAAAGCTGATCCATGTTTTGAGTCCTTTTCCCTCTCGCTGGCGCAGGGAGAGACACTTGGAAGGGTGTGAAAAGCGACCCCCGGCTCTAAGGAAGGTGTTGGGGTGCCCTCCTAGTCCCCTCAGCAGCATTCCCGGCTGGACCAGCGGTGTATTCCCAAATAGTGAGGAGTGGGGGGGGATACTTGGAATTCCAGCCCCTCTGATTACACCCCACCCCCACAGCACCTCGGGGTGTCCCTCTGTCCGATTCCAGAGGGGGAAACTGAGGCGGAGGGGAGCTGGGGGGGGGGGGGTTGTGCCACGGCAGGAGAACAGCAGAGCAGCAATTCCCACCCTTGGAGAACCTCCATCCTGGGATGAGCAGCTGCCCCGGGGGAGGGACAGCACCTGTGCAGCCTCGGGATGGGGTTTTCCCTGCGGGATCTCCATGGCTTCCCTTTCCAGCTCCAGCAAAACAGCGAGTGCTTCGGGACTCCACAGAGGATTTCTTGGGGATTATTTTTCCCTGGATGGAGCCGATCCATGAGCCAGAGCACCAGCCCACTCCTGGGGGTCCCAGCTGGCTCCTCTTTGGAAGGGTTTGGGTTTGAATTTGCCCCACCTGGAAATGAAAACTCCTCCATTTTCCCCACCTTTCCCCCATTCCCAGCTCCCAGGACACCTCTGCATGGTGGAGGTGGGAGCTTTTCTATCCCAGCTCCCTGATCCCAGCGCTGGTGGCTCAGCCATCACCTTTATTCCCCCCCGGGCTCCCAGAGCGGGAGCTTGGATGGAGAACAGGCAGTGGGGGGTGGAGATGAGTTTTTCAGGATGGGTTTTCCGGGTGTTTTGCTGCAGCTGTGGGAGCGTAAGGACATTTTTTGGGGAGGCAGGAGCCACCTGTGTGTGTGTTTGAGGCGCCTGCTGCTGTTGCAGCTCTAAAGGGCTTGGGGTGTGTTTGGGATGTGTGACCCCAAAACCTCTGAAGGGTCGTGTTGGGAGAGTGTTTTTCCCTAAAAAGCAGCCCTGGAAGGGGGTCAGGACTCTGCAGATCCTGGGGGGGAAGTGTGTGTGTGTGGGTGTCCCTGTGCCCCCCCAGTGAGTGGCTTTGCTGTTCCTGTCTCTCTTCTGGGTTTTAATTTTCAATAACTAATCCCTGTTAGCCAAGTCAGGGATTGGGAAAAACTGCCTGGCCGAGGTGTCTGGCTCCTGGCAGGGCTGTCACCCACCTGGTGGGGGGGAACTTTGGGGGTGATGCCAAACCCTGTGCCCGTCACCAGTGGGTACCATGAGGGGAGGGACCGGGAGAGATGGGAAAGCTCTCCCAAACCCCACAGTAGCATTCTCCCATTTCTCTACCCCAAACCACCTCGTATTTTGCCCCTGTATTTTTTTGGGGGGGTGCAGGAGCAGAGGCACAGCACCACCTGGTGCTGCTGGGGCCGGGGGATCACCCAGCTGGAAAAGCTGGAGCAGCAAATCCCGGCAGGATTCTCAGCAGGGAAAGGAGAGGGGCAGGAGCTCGGCAGCTGCAAATGTCACCTCGTGGTGGGAGGGCTTGGGGGGGACAATCAGGGCTGGGGTGAGAGGGTAAAAAGGAGCCAAGAGGGGTGGTGGTTTCAGCCTTGGTGATGAGGAGCAGTGGGAGGAAGGAGGGAGGAGGGAAGTTTGGGTGTAAGAGAGGGGAGTGTGTTCTTTGGGGGATCTTTGGGGGGTCCCTTGGCATCGAGTCTGGATGTGAGAGGAGAGTGTGGCCTGTGGGGGATGTTTGGGGGGTCCTTTGGCACTGGATGTAAGAGGGGAGTGTGTCCTTTGGGGGGGTGACTGGAAAGGTCCTTTGGAACCAAGTTTGGGTGTGAGAGAGGGGAGTGTGTTCTTTGGGGGAAGATTGGGGGTCCCTTGGCACTGGGTTTAAGAGGAGAAAATGTCTTTTGGGGGGATACTTGGGGGTCCCTCTGGGTGTCTGGGTGTAAGGGAAGTGTATCTTTGGGAGATGTTTGGGGGGTCCCTAAACCCCTTGGTTTAAGAGGGAGGCGTGTCTTTTAGGGGATGTTTGGGGGGGTCCCTTTGCACTTGGGGCCGGGAACACCAGCAGGGAACGTGTCCCATGAGCTCTGGGCAGTGCTGGGAGCGCGTGGGGTTGGTGTGGGTGGGTGGGAGACGCGATGTCTGTCCCCTCTGTCCCCCCCCACCCCCTCACATACCAGGGCTCATCCAGGGGATCCCAGGGGGTTTTTTCCTTCTTTTCCAGAGCAAGCTGGTGAAGTACTTCAGCAGGCAGCTGTCCTGCAAGAGGAAGGTGGCCCTGCAGGAGCGCAATGCCAAGCTGGAGGGCTTCCCCCAGCTCCTGCACTGGTTCCGCATCGTCGACATCCGCAAGGAGGTCATGGAGGTACGTCTGGAATTCCCTCCGTGGGCCTTGTGGCGGATCTAGGGTCCTGACCCTCTCCAGGGGCGTTTTTTCCAGGAGTTTGTGGATCCTGATCCTCTCCAGGGGTGTTTTTCCCAGGAGTTTGTGGATCCTGAGCATCCTCAGGAGTGGTTTTTCCCAGGGGTTTGTGGATCCTGAGCCTCTCAAGCATGGTTTTCCCAGGGATTTGTGGATCCTGACTGTCCCCATGGGTGTAACTCCCAGGGATTTGGGGGTCCTGACCCTTTCCAGAAGGGTTTTTCTCTGGGGGTTATGAATCCTGACCCTCTCTGGGGGTGTTTTTCCCAGGAGTTTGCGGATTCTGACCCTCTCTAGGGTTGTTTTTTCAGGGGTTTCTGAGTCCTGACCCTCTCCAGGAGTGTTTTTGCCAGGGGTCTGTGGGCCCTGACCCTGAAGCTGCCAGTCCCTGTGTGTTCCCAGGGCAGGGCTGGATTTTCCTGCTGCCCCCAAAATGTCCTGGTGCTGAGCCGGGTCTGGATACACCTGAAACTGCAAAAACTTGGGATGAAGCTGAGGCTGCAGCTGTCCCTCCTGGTTGTGTTGGAGATTGAGATGGAACACGAGGAATTTTGGGAGTGTGGCCCGAAGCCAGTGGGTTCTCCCGGGTGTGCCCCGAGTCTGGAGGTGGATTATTCCCGTTTCCTCACTCCTGCCCCATTCCCACCTCAGGAAATCGCCCCGGGGCAGCTGAGCCTGGAGGAGCTGCTGGACATGACGGATGACCAGGTCTGTGCCACCGTGGAGAAGTTTGGGGCCAACAGCGAGGAGTGTGCCCGCCTGAACGCCTCCCTGTCCTGCCTCCGCAGCGTCCACAAGTCTGGTGAGTTGACTCCAGTGGGATTGGGCTGGATCCAATGGGATGATGTTCAACGAGGCCAAGTGCCCTTTGGCCACAGGTTGGGGCAGAGAAAGGGCCCTGGGGGTGCTGGTGACAGCAGCTGAACGTGAGCCCAGGGGTGCCCAGGGGGCTTTCTTGGCATCATTCCATGGCATCCGGGCCTGGATCAGGAACGGTGTGGCAGCAGGAGCAGGGCAGGGATTGTCCCCCATGCTGGGCACTGCTGAGCCCACACCTTGAGGGCTGTGCCCAGGTCTGGGCCCCTCAGATAAGAGAGACTGAGGGGCTGGAGCGTGTGCAGGGAAGGGAACGGAGCTGGGAAGGGGCTGGAGCAGCAGGAGCGGCTGAGGGAGCTGGGGGGGCTCAGCCTGGAGAAAAGGAGGCTCAG